CCATTCTATGATTCTATGAAAATGATGCCTCACAGCATGGTCCTGGCTGTCAGCTAAGAGAACTTTGTTTTTTCCCCTTGCTAGAAGCACTGGGAGACATGGAAAAATCTTCTCTATGGGAACTGTTGTTTTTATCTGCTTCCAAACTTTGCTGGTGACTTGCAGTTTGACTTGCAAATTTCTTCATCTGACTTGAGTGTAATGCTTAAAAACTGAATGATGAATAACTTATTTTTGCAAGCCTCTGTGCAATGCAGAGTTTACTGATGATTCCTGCCTCCTTACTAAAGCTGGTAATTACTGCTTGTTTAACTGGTGGTTGATTTGCATCCTCTTGGGAACCTAACATCTCTGAAAATGACAGTGTAGAAACTGCAGTCTTGACGATTTGATTTTCATTTTTAAAGTTTTGTAGGCTTTAATTTATGACTGTTGACTAGACCACCAGAGCATTGGTCTTCAAAGAGTGGTGTGTGTTTGTGTGGCTGCAAAGGCATGCACCTGTGTATCAGAGTTTTTAGCTGTTGTTTAGACAAACTCATCTGTTTTAACTTAAAGTAAGGGGGTAGGTGGTTGCTGAAATTTGCTGAGTACTTACACTGGGAAGTTAAGCCAACTAACAGCCTTTGTAATGGATTGTATTGCAAAAAAAAAAATTCCTGCTCTTTATTCCCTGAAATAGTTAGTTTAGCTTTGGAGTTGGTTAACGAAGGGAGGTGCTTCCAAAACCAGAATGTGCTCTTCTGGACATAGTAGCTGAAAGTATGTAAGAAACATTTTTTACTGACACTCCACTTGCTTACCTGGTTTGATTATTGTGATCCAGCCTCTGGCTTTTGTAGCTAGCCTGTGCACTGAACTGGCAAACACCAGTGTTCCCCAATTACCTAAATTGTCTGGGTCACGAACCTCATTTCTTGTTTGCTTTGAATAAGTGAAAGTTGTGCTAACAGCCGGAATCCCTACTGAGGCCAGCTTGATCTGCTCTGGAGCTGCTCCAGCCAGTGTTCTGATAAAGCCTGGTATCGTTTCAACAGGCAATAGGAGGACTAGAATGATTTCCCTTCATTGTTTAAGGTTTCATACAAATATTCACTATGCCAGGAAAAAGGATATTTCACTTACGCCTTTCTCCCTTCCCTGCTGCTACAAGAAAACATTTTTTTCTCTTATTTTCTTTAAGTTAGACTGTGGTCAGTGCTTTTGGATTCTGAGGGAATTGTTCTACTTCATCCTCAGGGAGACTGTGCATTGCAGTTGCAAAAGGTGCACGTGGTAGATAATGCATCAATGTCTCAGAGTCAAAATACATGTTCTACTAAGAGGACATATTACATGGGGGAGACCAGTGGCCTTCTTCCCAGATTTCGGTAGTAAGTCAAGTACCTAAATAACTTTAAGGATCTGGCCTGCAGTCTGTTCTTCAGCAGTTCTTTGACTGTGACATTAAAAAATAGTAATATTGAATTGATTTTTAGGAAGTTCAGTATTGTTGGAGTAATGCCTCCTCCCCAAAGAGGACCTTCCTTAAGGCCTCCATAATCTTGTGTTGCACACGGACTTAGAAACAAGGTGTTATCAGTCAACCAGGTTTTATTCCCACTGTGCATCAGCCCTCTGGTGTGTTTAGCAGAGCCAGGCCTTGAGCTGGAGGTGTAGGTGTGCATCCTCGGCAGCAGCTGTGGTGGCTGCAGGGGTGAGCACCCTGCTCCCCCGGCTCTCCCAGCACAGCCCTCCTCCCTGCCCTGGAATCGCTGGCCCCCCTCTGTGCTCTCAGGTCCCAGGGTCACGTTCCCCAGTGTGTGAAGATCAGGTTGAGCAAAGAGTTACTATTTTAATTGTTTGACCTAATCCAGCTCACTGTGCATGGAGTGGGTGAGGAGTGCACCTGTGTGAGCTGCTGTGCTGGGATGGGGGGGGATGTACAAGGTGGGGGTTACACTCCAGTGAGGGTACAGCTCCTTTGGACCATTTCTACATTGTGGGTACAGCTGACTTGTGATTTCCACCAGGCTAACCCCTAACAAACTTGTTTCCAGTGCTTGGCTGTAGGCTGGCCCTTATTGCTGTTATCAGGCATATAGTGAAATCTAAGTTGTGCTTTCGTGCCATTTGTAACAGCAGAGCAAACAGGATTTATGGTAAGGCAGCTAGCCAACTGCCAGGATGCTTGTTCAGCATAATCTCATGCCCCTGCAGGCCACCAGCTTCCCAGCAGCTGTGGCCTGAGGTCCTGGGGCAAGGAGTGGGCTCTGGTGACTTACTGCTTCCTGCAGGTACTGTTCTGCTGGTGCTTGTGGGGAGGAAGGAATGTCAAGTCATACAAGACCTGAAATGCAGAACAGTATTTCCTCAGCTGCCTTAACTGGCTTTCTTGCTGACTCCTGTGAACAGATTTTATTCTTGGTAGCAGAGAGTCCAAGGGATCCGCTGCACTGGCTGGTGGTAGCTTCTGTGCCAGTGTTTGTTGGCACAGTAAAATTAGCTTTGTGATTAAAGCAGCGTGTGCTGCTGTATACGGTCTGGTCATGTGTCCCATGAGAACAGCATGGTATTAGCATGTGCTTGAAAGCAGAAAACAAGATCTCTGGGGTTCCTATATAAAAACTTAAATTGCTCTTAGTAAAGCCTATACTGTCAATCTTCAGTGCTATCAGCTGTGCTTGGCAGATTATTGGGGGCAGGTCATGCAAGTGGCACAGATTCACATTCTCATTCTGCGCGACAGGCATGTACAATATTCTTGTATCCAAAGTTAGGATGTTATGGTCTGGATAAAGGGGAAACTAGGTAGGTAAAAAAACCTGTTGAATGGTTGGCCTTGGAGGGTGGTGGTTAATCAGTTGTATTATACCTAGATGCTGGTAACAAACAGAGCACCACAGGGATCTCTCATGGCACTTGACCTATTAACCACCTTTATCAGTAATGCAAAGCGGATGGCACAGTGCACTCATAAGTGTGGAGATGACACCAAACTGAGGGGGACCAGTCAATGCACTCAAGGGCAGAACTGACACCAAATGGTACCCAGAAGTCCTGGAGGAACAGGCCAACAGGAACCTTATGAAATTAAACATGGGCGAATGTAAAGTCCTGCTCCTGGGAAGGGAGAGTCCCTTGCAGCAGTACAGGCTGGGGAGAAGCTTTGTTCCTTACAGGAGTTGGTGGTCTTGGTGGACAATGAGCTGAACATCAGCCTGCAGTGTGCCCCTGCACAACAGTATCCAGGGCAATAGTCACAGAAGCACAGCCAGTAGACCGAGTTTGTTTATTCCCCTCTACTCAGCTCTGAGGAAACCACATCTGGATACTGTGTCCAGTTTTCCAACCAAACTTAGCCCATCATCTCCCATCAGTCTTGCTGCTAATACTGGCAGGCAATGAAAGGAGATGTTAGAGGAGTGAGAGCAAGACTTCTATTGACACAGCTTTAGTGGTGTAAACTCCATGGAAGGTGACTGGTATAACTACCAGGTAGTCCCAATAGTGAAGAAGAGACTCTGAGACAAAGACCTGGTGCCCTAGCAGCAGTCTCACTTGCTCTTCCCTGCATCCTGCTTAGGCCACTAATAATGTCAACTCAGAAAGGTTTTTTACAGCAAAAATGTATTGAACTTAAGGTTTACTGTCCTGTGGTTTGCAGTAATTCATGTTAGGCTTATATCATCATTCAGGGTGAAATTTGAAAAAACTGTGAATTAAGTGATTGTATCAGCAACTCTGGAGATGATCAAATAGGGAATTACGCTTCTGAAAGCTGTTTGGTTAGTTCTGTGGTTCAGTCCGTGAAAGCAAATATGCACTGCCCTGTACAAACGCAGCACAAAGGAGTTGGAGGTTTTTGCAGGTTTTGCTCTATGGACTTTTACCCAAACCTCCCGGGGACCTTCACTTTGTGTTGGACTATAGGGATGCATATGACAGGGGCTGGAAGATAGGAATGGAGGAAGATGGTGGTAGTAAGGCATGACAGGACAGCCTGGGATCACTTTCTACTTTCATTATGACTGGCAAATCAGTTTTCCAATGACTGCTCAACTTTAGAAACCCAAGCAAACTTTAGCTGAAACTACCTCAAAGTCACATAGCTTGTAGAGAACAATAAGCTTGTACCATAGATACCAGTGTTTAATTCTTCCCCCGCCCCGACTTGCTTTCATGTATATATTGTGAAATACAGAGGGTATTTATTTCTAGTTTGGAATTTCACACTGACTCACCCAGTCAAAGAAGCTTGTGCAAAGATACGTTCTGGTGGTGTCTGCTCTAGGTTTTGGATCGATCATCTGAAAAATGCTGACCCAAACAGGTGGTGGGAGGATGATTAGCCCACTGAAGGTGGACATTGTGTAGCATTTATTTTTCTACAATCTTTCTTTCATTCAGGCTATGGTTGCTTGCTATCCTGGAAATGGAACTGGGTATGTTCGTCATGTGGACAATCCAAATGGTGACGGGCGCTGCATCACCTGTATTTATTACCTGAATAAGAACTGGGACTCCAAGGTGAGTAAGCCATAGGGTTGAGGCAGATCATGAAGGAAAAATTAATTCAGAAACAGAGCTTTGGAATTGTCAGTTGCTTCTGTGAACTTCTGAACAACTGGTTCATTCTTAATCTCTGTTTATTTTCTTGGTGTTTATGGCAACCCTTTGGAAGTAAGAATCTGAACTGTTTCCTTACCATTCTCTCTCCCATCCCACACACATAATGTTTTGTTGCTATAGAATAAAGCTTCTAAGCACTGGGCTGCTGCTCTTGTGCTTTATTTAGAGGAAAGTACAATGAAGAATTAGAAGGAAAAACATAATCCACTATGAAATAAGTGGATTCAGAGAGCAGAATAACATGACAGCTCAGATTTGGGACTTCAGCTTTCTTGATACTGTTTCTTCAGGCTAACCTGCAGAAGATCTTCAGGCAGTTGCCTCTGTGGTTTTCTTATGAAGTGATGGGGAGGAATGTAATTCCTTAGTAGGAGGAATGAGCTTGGTTTGTCCTCTCCATCTTTGACTCTACCAGTGGGTCTGTGGACAAGCCAGTGCTCTTGCTTCTGCCAATAAAGTTAATCTTGAATTTACCATACCTTTAAGTTAGAAACAAAAACAGGGTTTCTAAAATTGCAGGATTTCTCTTTACGCTTCCGTTGTCATGATAAGGTACAAACTATTCACATGTATTATCTGTTGAAAATTGCATAATGTTTTTTGTCTCTCTAACCAGTCTTGGCCACTTAAGGTGGATGCTCTTTAAGCACATGTAAATAATATGAACCCTCAAAAGTGAGTTCAGATTTGGAGGCAATGCCACTGAAAATACACCGGAAAAAAAATCACAGTCCTTTGTATGTGACAGTGTATGTTACAGTGTGACAGTGTATGTTACAGCATGACAGTGAAACATGTCAGTGTAATAAAGTGAAGGAGATGTGGGATGAAATCCACATAATCAGTTTATTTTGTGCACGACACTCCTAATAGTGAGGAAGCATTACAGTGGACACTAAGAAGGCTAACTGAAATCTCGGACACTGGTGGAGAGTATTATGTGGGTGTGATGGTAGTTTTACCTCACCTAATAGTTTCTTACTGAGATTTGCTTGTCATGTGGAGGTACTAAGTCAGGTCAGTGCTGGATTGACAGCATCTTCCGTGCACTCTGTGGTGCAGCACAGAAGCCTCCAAAGAGCCCTCTAACAGCAGCAGGGATGAGGCAGAGTTCATCTGCATCGGTTGAAGTTTCTACAGTGTGTGCCAATCACCAGTCTTTCTCCCCGAAACTCTTGGCACATGGAAAGAGAAATGATCTTTTAGAGAAACAAGGCTATGTTATAAGTAGAGAAAAGACTGCCTGGGAGGTGTAATAAACTAGCCATAAGTGTGTTATAAAGCCAACAATAGAAGAGACATAACTTTTGCAGCCTGGGAAGAGTGAATTCCTATATGATCAGATGCAGGCTCTGAAATACCATAAGCAGCATCTAGCAATTGTTGGGAGTAGAGTCTGATCTCAATCTGGTCAGGTGCAGCACTCTTACCTGCTCTGTGGTATTCTGTAGTTCTAGAGATGTGACTGGGTGCTCAAAAGTTTCCCTATGATATTGTTTTTCTACAGGGCCAGTGTTGTCTTTATCTTGGTTCATTTACATTAGCCAGATGTTTATGCTGAAACATTACAAACTGTTTGGGAAAATCAGGGTGGCCAAGAGATTCAGTGTATGGTTTTCCAGTGTGGTAATGTAGCTGTCTTGGTTATCATTAGACGTTTGTTCCTCACTTGTTGGGTGCTAAGGAGGGAGAAATAAGTCATTGCTCACATGTAAGTGTGGGTGTTCATATGTGTAAAAAGCAACCTTTCCTTTTCTTTCAGCTGCATGGTGGAATTCTTCGAATATTCCCGGAAGGAAAGTCGTATGTAGCAGATGTTGAGCCAATTTTTGACAGATTACTTTTTTTTTGGTCAGATCGAAGGAACCCACATGAAGTCCAGCCTTCTTATGCAATCAGGTAAGTAGTATATTAGATATTGATATTTGGTGAGGAAAAAGCGAAGCATATTTTCTACCAATACTTGTAACTAGAATTCTGGCCCTTGTGTGTTTGTTTAAATAGACATGTGCATGAAAATAAGGTAGACTTTGAGTGGATTTTATGTTTTTTGAGTAACAGGGAATTCTCTCATTAAATCAGGAAAAACAAGCTTGAATCATAAGAATCCTTGTGTGATGGGGAATAAAAGCCCTTTTACCATTGATAGGAGAAATCTTCCAAACCAGGCATAGTTATTAAGCTGGGAGATGCTGGGTTATATATTTTCTAGCACTGTAGGGATTCTTAGGGCTAACATCTGTCAACAGGCTACAAAAAGCTGATGGGATGTAGGGCAGCCCCCAAGCTGCCTGCAGGTGCCCCAGAACAGAGAAACATGCAGAGGTCTGTAAGCTACTTTTGCTCTCTGTTGCCAGGGCCTGTGCACTCTTTTGTGCCTCCAAGCAGAAATTCAGCTATATTTCTACCTCACTTAATAAAATACACATTTAAAATGCTGTCTGTATTAGTTTATAAAGATGTGCCATTTGCATACTATTTCTTAATCTACTAATCCAGTTTTGGTTTTTGCTTTTTCCATAAACAGAAAACTCCAGGGCTCTATTTTAAAATCTAAAGCTGAAAAAACCCCACAGTATTTCTTTCTTTTACAGATATGCCATGACTGTGTGGTATTTTGATGCTGAAGAAAGAGCAGAAGCCAAAAAAAAGTTCAGGAACTTAACCGGTATGATTCTTTTATAAGTGTTCACCAGAAAGAGTTTAATGCATTTTGATATTTCCAAAGTCAGGGACAGACTGGGAGCAACTCTGTAGCTGGATGGGTATGACATTTATCTTTAGAAAGCTTTTTCATCTCTAATCACTAGTCTTTTTTTTTTTTTTTTAATGCAAAGTGGAGAAGTTGAAACAGAAGATTTCAGGCCTGGCGTCAGTATCCCTGATGAGAATTATGGGGAACATGGGAGAGGTGGTTTCTGATTTTTCTCCCAAATGGCTGCTGAGATTTTGTCCCACCCCAGTTGGTTGCTCCAGTTGCTGGAGTCTCTAAGCTCTTGTTTTGTTATTTGGGAGGTATATTTTGTCTCCTTCAAACTTTGTTTAGCACGAAGTCATGAGACTTACAGAAGCAGCCTCATAATCATGTTCTCTAAATGTTCTGGCTGAATAGATCCTGGCTTCTATATTAATGAAGGGCAGCTGGGGCCTGCAGTAATACAAAAGGGATTTGTCCCTAATTTTCAAGTAATTTCTGAGTGGGGATATTAATAATGACCTTGGAATGTATAGATGTGAGTTGGAAAGAAGCTTAGTTTAGAAATATGTATAAGTGCATCTTTTGGCAAGCAGTTGCTAGAGTAGCAGTGATCATAGTACACTTCAGGAGCTACCTACATTCAAATGGGTCTCACAAATAGCTTAATGTCATCCCAGAGACACTTTTGCAGAATCCTGGGAAGAGCAGACCCCAGCTTTCCTAACAGCAGCCTCGCTGCCAGCTACTGTAGTAATGGCAATTAGTGGACTGAGTTTTTCAGATATGTTCCAACACCCTACCTGGGGCCATGCTCAAAGGTTTGCTGTTTGGAGCACTAAGATCTGGTCTGGAGGGACTGCCTCAGGCAGTTCCTCAAAATACAGTGTGGAGCATTCACATTTTTTTTAAAATGTGTGCTATGCAGCTAGGGACCAGCAAAGTTGTAATTAGTCAAATACTTCCCTGAACAGACTGTCATCTCTGTAGCTGGCACGCAAAACAAATATTGACTTCACCCTTAAAGGGGATCAAGAATGAGGGGAAAAGTATCATAGATCTGGAGTCTGAAATTTTTTTTGGCTATTTAAATACTTCATGAATCGTCTTCAGCTTCAACAGGGCAAATGGCCAAGGTTTTGTACATCTCGTTAACATGCTGTGGATTCGTATGGCATTTCAGTCTATGTAATGAATTCATATCATGAGTCTGAAATGGGAAGTGCTGTCCATTGGAAACAAACCAACTTGACTCTGTTTCTGAACTCTGGCTTAACTGCCTCTCCTTTTTTAATCTTTTTGATGTAGATGCAAGGAAGACAGAAGCACCTCTTAATGAAGACTAATCAACTGTTCCTGAACTGTTTGTGAGGAAATAAGATCCCAAAGATGATTTCCATTTCCAGCAAACAAGGGCAAATTCTTCTTATGCGCAAGAACACACTGATTGTGTCTAGCATGTGCATCTTATACCAATGGTACTTAAGGCAACCTCCTGTCATGCCTCTGTCTGGCAGAAGGAACACTTGTTTCTATTTGCCTTTGGCTGGAAAACGTAACCAGGGTTAAAAAAGAGTATTGCTAAGCCTAGTGATAGCAACTCAGCCAACTGGCTTTTGATCACTCTTGTAACCAAGATAACAATCATTGGAACTAGTGTTAAAAGTCTTATTTGCACTTTATGGGGGGAAAACAAAAACCTAGCTCAATGGGAAGGAGATTTACAAGTTTAAAATCTGTGTCAGACAGCTAATGGGCAAGGAGAGATATTGAAAATGTGAAATTAAACTGGATTTTTGTAGAGTTCCATCTTATGGTCTGTCCTGCATGGGCCTGTTGATGTACTGTTCATCACTTTACTGTGCTGAACCTTATCGGCTCAGCTCATTGATAGCGTGACTTTCCAAACAGATTTTTGTCTACACAGTCATAGTATTTCCTGGATTTTGTTTGCTTTTCAAGAGTCTAGCTGTGCAGTTCTGCTGCCCTTTCTGTCCCAGTACTGAGGGGGAAGTAGTTATTCATTTGTCCCACAACTTTGTAAAACCTTTTCCTTTTTGTCCTGAGTGGGATGGGTTGTATGTTTTCTGTTTTCATGGTTTGATAATGCAGCTGTTTTCTCCCAAAAATTTGGTAAACTTGGAAGGCTGGTGGCACACAATGCATTGGCATTGAAGGCTAATGATACATAGTAGATGGAGAAATCACAAAAATAACTTTTTTATGACAGATATGAATCTGAAAGGAAAAGATGTCTGGCAGTCTGACACGTGTGATAAATAACGGGTAACTTAGGCTTGATTTCTGTGCTGCTTATCCTTTAACACAACTGTTTAAATCTGCATGTTTATGTAATTTAAATGAAACAGTGCTGCTTTAACAGTGGATCTGTTAAGCCAGGTAACTATTTCTGCTATGTCCAAGCTGTGAGATCAGTTACTCAAATGGAAAAGCACGTAACTTTCTGTTCTCCGTTATTTTTTCTAAATTTATTAGGCTCAATGAGTAACTGGTGAGCTATCTCCAATGTGCCTAAGCTTCTACAACCAGCACTTACTGTGCAGTTCAGAATAGCTCTTAAGGAAGCCAGGAACTGGCGGTGGATGTATTTATCACTCAGTAATTGTTCTCAACCTAATACACTCACTTGCATTAATTTTTGTCTTATGTTGACAGTGTATGTCAGAACCTACTAAATGTTCTGAATAGATTCCCTCCTCACAATCCCATATTTTCCTGTGCCCCTGCCTGCAGCGGAGAAGGTGATCTCTTTGAAATGCCTGCTTATGCACTAGTTTACCATGCTGTGCTGGTCTAACATGCTAGTGATGTGTCTGATGGCCATCTCTTTCATACTTGAGGTAGGGAAGGAAGAGGTAGCGTGCAAGGGCAGCTAGTAAGTGTTAGTAACAGAAAGGTTAACAGATGCATAGGACAAGAAAGAAATAATTTTCATGATGTTAAAAATTGTGATGGAAATGGAGTATTTCTTTAAGCGGTTCTGTTTCTTAAAGAAAAAAAAAAAAAAAAGGCTGGGCACCTTTCACCCTGTCCTTGAATTCTGAACATAAATACAGTAGTGCTAAGAAACCTCTGATGCTCTCTGGCTTCTCCCAGAGATTCAGCTATGGTCTTGTCAGGCTGAACAAACTCCAGCCCATCACTGTGCACCTTGAGGGAAATATGAGGGAAGATGTGTAACAGATATTCTTATAACTCAACAGTAGAAAAAACCAAATACTCTGATAAATGTCTTTTAATGTTAGGAAATGTTATTCCATTACAGTAGCTTCTAAGTAGCACAACATAGACTTGAAGGAAACTTAATGATGACTTGAAATTCTCATTCTACAATGTTCATGTGGGAGGAGAAAGGGACCTCTTACATGAGAATGAGAGGTAACTCTTTGAAAGATTGTAGATGTTGAAAAATTAGAGGCACAGGATTATTATTTAAAAAGGTGGGGAGGGAAACACAACCTGTTGTGTTGCTATGCAAAATTGATAATGGCATGTAAATTTGAAACTCCTACATGATTTTAAAGGGGGCAAAGACTGCTAAAAGAGTGGAGCAAATCTCGCTTTGCCTTTAGAAACTGTAACCTTAGAAATGCACTGGAAAGAGGTGTTAGTATGTATCTCACTGGAGCCTAGAACACTGGATAAACAATGTGGTGAAAGGGAAAAGGCTTTGTATAAAGGTTGAAAAAGGAAGGTACCTAAGTTACCACTATTGCTACCATCTGACTTCAGCAGTGGTCAGTAATATGTGTGTGGTGGATGGAGGAACATGGAATAGTATAGATGCATTTATTATAAAGAAAGTATTTTAATTTTTAGCCAATATCTTCCTTATCTAGACAGAGAGAGCAATTATTCTGTGGCAGAGAGTATCGTCTTTTTCTTCATTAACACATAGATTTAAGTACAAAAAAATTGAGGGCACAGGATGTTGAAACCTATTCCTCAGTCTTCTGTTTCAGATCTTTACCTTGTTTTCAGATCAGTGGGATGATCTCCTTGAAGATGCTGTAGTTTAACTGGGGGTAAGTGGGGTGTTGGTCATGTAGGAATAAACAGGCTTGATGTTTTCTACACAGATTTATGTGGAATTGTTGCAAACTGCTCTGAAAGAATGAAATTATTTAAATTGTGGAGGAAGCAGGCTGCTGCAATAGGGAAGGCGTTTTCAGTGAGACTCTTCCTTTTCCTTGTGTTTTGCCTTCACTGCAAACATCTATGGCTAAACAGCACTTATCTAGTGTTTTGTCTAAGACATTTAATTTTTAGTCCTCCAAAAGTTGGGGTTTATTAACCTCTAGGTAATGTGCCCTCATTATTCATCTCTGAAGGTATTACAATGCCACATGTGTGTGTCATGCAAGTTTTTCATGGGCCTTTGGAAAGGCAACCATATTTCTTAAAAACAATTGCATTTGGAAAATATGCAGAGCTACCAAGCCACAATTTCTGACAGGTGTTTTTTGTTGTGCAGAGAGAAAAAAGGCCAGGAGACAGTACTGAAAAGCAGGAGACTATTTTTATTCTTAAACCTGTAACTACTGGCCTTCTGAGCAAAGTAGCCTCTAATAAATCTTGTTTTCTCTAGATTACTTCTGGTTCTATGAGGAATGGCCTCTGCTAAGTAGTGTCTAAAAAAGATCCACTTTTATCCTTCTCTCTTTTAGTTCTAGTCCTTTCCTACTGCATTTTTTAAATGTTGGAATATATTCTGTGTATTTGTTGTTGCAATATAGCTGGCTCTAACACCACTTGCGTCTAGAAGAAAACGTATCTATTTGCAGGCAAAAATAGCTAGTCTACTTTGACTGCCCTGTACTCCCAGCAGATATCTGAGAGTGAGTTATGACTACATCTTTTCTTGTCAGGTTGTATGCTGGTCAACAATGCTGGCACTTTGCATCGTTTGCATTGGATTCATATAGAAACCCCTAGTAGTATTTTGCCATGCATCACATCTTGTGTTCCTGTTACTATTTAAAAAAATGTATGTGGCAGGAGTTAATAAACTGAGTCATGTTAAACACTGTCATCTGCATATCTCTTCAGTCTTGTATCTTACCATGGCCAGGATTGTGGCAGGTGGTTGCAGGGCCACACAGCTGTATGAAGGGTGGTGACACTGTAATAGCAGCCACTGCTGTCCTCCGCTGTTGGGGAGAGCTTTGTTGGTTGCTATCAGCTTGGCACATTTCCTTGCTCACTTCCTGCTATTTTGATGCATTTACCTTGCTATTGACCTTCTCCTTGCAATGCCTATTTGTTTTCACACTCATGTTGAACCAGATAACATTCTCACAATTCAGTTGTTGTCTGATAAGTTTTTAACAGCGTTCACATCCTCCTCCTGCTACTTTTCCAGCCTGGGTCCCACAGTTTTCTCCTGCAGCTGTGGGGAAGGCTTCTCTTCACTCCCACTAATGTTTCAGTTGAATGAAAGCCAGGACATTTTTACTTGTCTGTTCAAGTGCTGTGTACTTTTTTGATTCTTTTTCAATATTGTGAATAGTGGGAAATTCCCACAGCTTGGACCTGCTGAGTGTCTTGTGCTAAAACATAGTAGCAAAGTCAGGATGGAGCACTTCAGGGGAAGGAGATCTCTAAACAGTAGAGCCCCTGCATTTGAACAGAAGGGTTTCTGTGCCTGAATGTGTCCCTTTTTTCCCCCAACTGTGTCAGTGTGATTAATAAAAAAATACTACCTCCCCCTACAAGCCTTGTCTCTGATACAGCTATTACTATTTAGTAACTTCAAGAATTGTGTACTTAGAGCATTTTGCTAGTCCCTAATGCCCCATGATCTATGAAGCGTTGTTGCTGCATGATCTTTCAAACACCATAATGCTGTATGCAGCAGAAGAGATTGCCAAACTGAGAAATCATAGTTCAATTTAGTAAAGAAGCAGTAGAAGGGACAGCACTGCACAGAGGTGGGAAAAGTTATTTGAAGCCCCCTTTGCCCTGTAGAGCTGCTGGTGGTGCTGTGGCAAACTGCTTTTGTTATGGTTATCTATTGACAGGACATAAATGAAAGCAGACCTGGGCTAGCAACAAGAATTAACCAAAGGGCAGTGATATGGGTCCAGAGTGTGATGGACAAATTTGCCCGGCACCTCAGGAACAGTGTCTGGTGGCTCTGAGCTGCCCTCTGCCAGCGTGTGCCATGACCAGGTGCATCATCCTGCTGATGTGGAAGAGCCCAGGGATCAACTGGGCAGTCTGATGCAGAAAGCTGAGTGGGGCCCCAAGCATTTATGCATTTAGGGGTTACAACATGGAGCCATGACCACCCTCAGCAGGCTTTGCCTTTGCTCCTGGTAGAGGGGAGTGACTTCATCGCTCACATCAGGATGGTGGACAGAAGGCAGCAGAGCCATCCTTCATCCAGTCTTCTTTTTCAGACCAGAGCATTATGCAGGTAGGTATGGAAGCTGTGTGAGGGATGAGCCAGCAGCACAGTAGTAAAAACTTTGGGAAATGAATCTCAGTTTTGGAGCACCGAACTGGAATTGTTCAAAAAGGGTCATTTTGCAGTCAACAGTAGTG